AGGGCTAGAAAAATTAGAATATTATTCATTTAAATACACCGTTATCAATCTGATATTTTTTTGGAAAGATACTTTTCTAGGATTGAAATATATTTTAAAATTTGGGAGCTGCAGATTTAGCTTATCCAATTTATGCAAAATACTTGCCACATAACCTAAGTGGCAAGGCCAGTTCTCAAGTCAAACCAGTCAGGCAAGTCATATCCATTTTCTGTCAGAGAATCTGACATCATTGTTAAATTCAAATAGATGTGTTAAGGGGTGACTGGGTGGCTCAGTTGGTTAAGCATCTGACTCAGATGAGTCGGGCTCCGACATGAGTCAGACTCCGTGTTCAGCGGGGAGTCTGCTTGAAATTTCCTCCCTCCCTCTGCCTCGGCCCACCTCATGTGCGCTGTCTCTAAAATAAATAAAAACTTAAACACACACACAAAATAGATGTGTTAATACACATCCCTGTGACACTGGTTCTAATGTTAATTTAGGTGGGAAAGGACAAGATCCTGAATTTGTGCACTGGATGAAATAAGGTACGACCATCATTAACATCTACAAGTGTCTTGCTTTGCTCTTACTGGATTCCTTCCAGTTAGGGACAGGAGAAGTCATTAAATGAACATCATCCTTATTTCCACTCCACTTTATATGAATTCAAAACATCCAAACATAAGCCCAAACACACCATTTTTTAAAAATTTTTATTGTTATGTTAATCACCATACATTACATCATTAGTTTTTGATGTAGTGTTCCATGATTCATTGTTTGTGCATAACACCCAGTGCTCCACGCAGAACGTGCCCTCTTTAATACCCAACACCAGGCTAACCCATCCCTCCACCCTCCCCTAGAATCCTCAGTTTGTTTTTCAGAGTCCATTGTCTCTCATGGTTTGTCTCCCCCTCCGACTTACTCCCCTTCATTCTTCCCCTCCTGCTATCTTCTTCTTCTTTTTTTCTTAACATATATTGCATTATTTGTTTCAGAAGTACAGATCTGTGATTCAACAGTCTTGCACAATTCACAGCGCTCACCATAGCACATACCCTCCCCAATGTCTATCACCCAGCCACCCCATCCCTCCCACTCCCCACCACTCCAGCAACCCTCAGTTTGTTTCCTGAGATTAAGAATTCCTCATATCAGTGAGGTCATATGATACATGTCTTTCTCTGATTGACTTATTTCACTCAGCATAACACCCTCCAGTTCCATCCACGTCGTTGCAAATGGTAAGATTTCATTCCTTTTGATGGCTGCATAATATCCCATTGTGTATATATACCACATCTTCTTTATCCATTCATCTGTTGATGGACATCTTGGCTCTTTCCACAGTCTGGCTATTGTGGACATTGCTGCTATAAACATTGGGGTGCATGTACCCCTTCAGATCCCTACATTTGTATCTTTGTGGTAAGTACCCAGTAGTGCAATTGCTGGATCGTAGGGTAGCTCTATTTCCAACTGTTTGAGGAACCTCCATACTGTTTTCCAGAGTGGTTGCACCAGCTTGCATTCCCACCAACAGTGTAGGAGGGTTCCCCTTTCTCCACATCCCCGCCAACATCTGTCGTTTCCTGACTTGTTAATTTTCGCCATTCTGACTGGTGTGAGGTGGTATCTCATTGAGGTTTTGATTTGGATTTCCCTGATGCCAAGCAATGTTGAGCACTTTTTCATGTGTCTGTTGGCCATTTGGATGACTTCTTTGGAAAAATGTCTGTTCATGTCTTCTGCTCATTTCTTGATTGGATTATTTGTTCTTTGGGTGTTGAGCCAAACACACCATTTTTAATGCCAAACTTTGTCACCAACAAAAATCTGCAAAAAAACAAAGGAAGTCATAAACCCTGACCTCAGGGTTAAGAAGACTTCACTGGCACCGTTAAGAGAATAAAAAGCTACAGATTGGGGGGAAATATTTGCACATCCCATGTCTGTCAAAGGACTGATATCCAGAATGTATAAAGAACTCTCAAAACTCAACAATAAAGAAAAGAACCCATATAATTAAAAAATGAGGGGCATCTGGGTAGTTCAGTCAGTTAAGTGTCTAACTTTGGCTCGGGTCATGATCCCAGGTTCCTGGGATCGAGCCCCATGTTAGACTCCCTGCTCAGTGGCAAGTCTGCTTCTCCCTCTCCCTCTGCCCCTCTCCCTGCTTGTGTTCTGTCTCTCTCTCTCAAATGAATAAATAAAATCTTTGTTTAAAAAGTAAAAAGGGGCACCTGGGTGGCTCAGTTGTTAAGCGACTGCCTTCGGCTCAGGTCATGATCCCAGGTCCTGGGATTGAGCCCCGCATCGGGCTCCCTGCTCAGTGGAAAGCCTGCTTCTCCCTCTCCCACTCCCCCTGCTTGTGTTCCCTCCCTCGCTGTTTCTCTCTCTCTGTCAAATAAATAAATAAAATCTTTAAAAAATAAAAATGTTAAAAAAAATAAAAAAATAAAAAAATAAAAATGTTTAAAAAAATAAAAAAATAAAAAGTAAATAAATAAATTCTTAGAAAATGAAACATGGGGGCGCCTGGGTAGCTCAGCTGTTAAGCATCTGCCTTCGGCTCAGGTCATGATCCCAGGGTCCTGGGATCAAGCCCCACATTGAGCTCTCTGCTCAGCGGGAAGCCTGCTTCTCCCTCTCCCACTCCCCCTGCTTGTGTTCCCTCTTTCACTGTCTCTCTCTCTCTGTCAAATAAATAAATAAAATCTTTAAAAAACTAAAAAAATTAAAACGTTTAAAAAAATAAAAAGTAAATAAATAAATTCTTAGAAAATGAAACATGGGGGCGCCTGGGTGGCTCAGTTGTTAAGCATCTGCCTTCGGCTCAGGTCTGATCCCAGGGTCCTGGGATCAAGCCCCGCATTGGGCTCCCTGCTCAGCAGGAAGCCTGCTTCTCCCTCTCCCACTCCCCCTGCTTGTGTTGCCCTCTCCCTGTCTCTCTCTCTGTCAAATAAATAAATAAAATCTTAAAAAAAAAAAGAAAGAAAATGAGACATGGACAAAGTCACTTCTCCAAAGATACAAGGTTGGCAGATAAGCATAGGAAAAGATGTTCAGCATCACCAGCCACTGGAGAAATGCAAATGAAAACCACCGGGATACCACTACACATCTACTAGAACTGTTAAAATTAAGAATACTGACAATGTCAAGTGCTGGTGAAGATGTAGGATAACTGGAATTCTCTGCCTGGCTCGGTGCCATCATAGGTAGGGCACGGGACTTCTGGGCAGAGTGCCTGGACATTGCTAGTGGGAATGTGAAAGGGTCCAGCCACTCTGGCAGACAGCTTGACAGGTTGTTATAAAGTTAAACATACACCTACCAAATGACCCAGCCGCTCCACTCCTGGATATTGTTGCGTGTACCAATGATTCATTCATATTTATTGCCGAGTACTATTCCATGGGATAAACAAACCATGGCATATCCATACAATGCACTACGACTCAGCAATAATAATTGTTGATACATGCAATGACTTGGATGAATCTTGAAGACATTATACTGAGCGAAAGAAGCCAATTTCAAAAATTACATATTGAATGATTCCATTCATAGAACATCATCAAAAATATAAATCTGGGCTGATGAAGGACAGAATTGTGGTTGGCAGGTGGCAGGGGAAGAGTGTGGCCATGGAGAGGTAGCACCGGGAGTGTTTGAGGCGATGTAACCATTCTTTATTCTGATTGTGGTGGTAGTTACAGGAATCCATACATGTATTAACATTTATAAAACAGTACAAAAGTCAACTTTAGTATAGAACAATGTAAAAAATAAAATTTAAAAAGGAGGCTTGTCACTCCTATTTCAAACTGTCTCTTTATTTGGCATCCCAGTGATTTTTATTGCCTTGGAGCAATGTAAGGTTTAAGGTGGTAAGAGGTATGGCTTGCTTTTCTGAACAGAAGAAGGATGTTTAAGAAAGAAGAGGTGGGAAGGAGAGCTGGTGTGCTGTCTCAGACACAGGCCCACAATGACACTTTGGGGCTTGTGATTTATGCAGTGTCCTCCCAGTTGGTCTCCCCGCCTCCTTCCCACCCTTTATTTGTTTTCCTAAGTTTCAAATCTTTTCATGGACTTTGCTTCTTCATGCCAAGTAGCTTTGACTGCCTACGAAAGAGACATTTTCAGGGTGCTTCAGGGGCTAGAAGAGGAAGCACCCCCTTCTCCATCAGGGCTGTCAGGAAGCCTCCAGAAAGACACTCCAATAATGCTGTTTGTCCTCTGGGGGATCCGTAGGAAAACCCCATAAAAAGCAGAGACTCTGTTAAACACCCTCCTGACCCTCTTGGTCTCCACCCCCTCGGTCCCCATCGTTCTGCACGTGACTTGAAGGACAAAGAGTCATAGAGCAGGGACCTCGCTGATCTATTTCTCTAACACTTCAGCCACTCCAGATTTCTTTCAGTTCCTCTTTCTCATCTAAGGGCCTTTGAACAATTTCTGCCCTCAGACGAGTGTTTTCCTCACCCTCTTTCTGTTGACTAACCTCCAAATATCTTTAAGGTTTCAACTTCAACATCACTTTCTGGAGGGCATGGAGGCCCCCCTCTCCCCCTCAGGGGAACCCCTATGTTGCAGGCTCCCACAGAGGTCTGTACTTCCCTTTCTGAACACTTATGGCATTGTCCCACCCCGTGTAAGGGTTGCCTTGCTGCAGTCTGTCATCTGTGAAAGCAGGGACCATCTGGTTCCTGCCCTATTCCCAGGGCTTGGCACAGATCCTGGCACCTGGGAGAGGCTCAAAAATACTTGTCGCTTCCATGGAATTTCAATAGTTAGTACACCTTCCTCATCTGAAAGAGGAAGACCAAGGCACATGGGTGGGAGAATGAGGTTTCTGACCATTTCAAGTTAGTGGCAAAGGCCAGAGCTGGCTCGCAGACTAGAGAACTCTCTGCCCTGGGGTCCAGTGGAGCTGCCTCCTTGGCTTGCTTCTTTGCGTCCGAGTAGGATGGTAATCAACTGGGACATTGGTTTTTGTGTTTTTGGCGGGTTTTTTTTTTTTTTTTTTTTTTGGTATTCTCTGGGTTTTCACTTCTAAAATGTGCACAAAGACGAGACTTTCCCAAGAACTGTTTTGATTCATGTAGAGAACACACTGCTTTTGAAGAGTGGGAGTGGGTGTTTCTTTAAAAATTTCCTCCAGCTTCCAAGTGTTTAATTTGAACACTTTTGAATCTTTAGAAAATTTGCACCAATAGGACAACAAAGACCCATCTATACTTCGTCTAGATTCTTCGGTCGCTAACATTTTGCTAGTGGCTCGCTTTTTCTCTCTCTCTCCCTGTGTGTGTGTGTGTATACACACTTCCTGTCTTCTATACACACACACACACACACACACACACTATATACATGTACACATACACTTTTTCTTTGTTGACCCATTTAAGAGTCAGCTGTAGACTAAAAATTATTACACTTTACCCCTGAACACTTTAGCATGTACCCACCAAGAACAATGAGCAATCTTCTACACAAATACAACATAGTTATCAGTCTCACAACATGATTAGCTAATATACATCCATATTCAAACTTCCCCAGGTATGTCAATTATGTCCTTTATAACTGCTTTTTAAAAAATCCAGGATCCAGGGGGGAGCCTGGCTGGCTCAGTCAGTGAAGCGTGTGACTCTTGATCTCAGGGTCGTGAGTTTGAGCCCCACATTGGGTATAGAGATTACTTAAAAATTAAAATCTTAAAAAAAAAGCATAAAAATCCAGGATCCAGTCAAGAATCATGAACTGCATTTTGTTGCCTCCTTCGCCTTCTTTAATGTTGAACAGTTTCCTCACTACTTTATCTTTCATGATACTGACACTTTTGAAGAGTCCAGTCCAGCCATTTCATAGAATTTCCCTCACGTGGATTTGTCTGATTACTTCCTCATGGTTAGATCCAGAATCAACTTTTTTTCTCTTTGAGCAAACATGCCACTCGCATGACACAGTGGGTGGCTCTTTGTTGGAGTGTCTTCAATTCAGAGGTCCGGGGCCTTGAGGTCATGGGCTAGATCCCCAAGACCTCCCCGCCCCCCCTCCGCCGGGGCTGGACAGTGGGAAGGCCCAGGGAGCCAGCAGGGAAAGGCCAAAGCTTCAGTCTTGGCAGAAGTCATGGCCAGCCATGGCTGCTGACGGCGGGGCACTGCTGCGGGACAACCAAGGCCGAGGTGAGAACTTGCCCTTCCTACCACGAGCTCCACGTGACCAGTGGCCAGCTCCTCAGCCGGGCGGTCACCTGCTGCTGTGGCCAGTCTCCGATGATGCGGCTGCCAGGGGAGCAAGAAGAGAGCTCAGGTGATAATCGTGCCAGTGTAGTCCTACTGGAAAGAAATGACAGCAAGGGGACAGGGGCACAATGACAGAGAACCAGAATTAAAAAACGAACCGACGGGGCGAGAGACAGAGGGGACACACCCCAGAGTAGAGAGTGAGAGACACAGACACAGAGAGTCAGACATGCAGGCCTGCAGGGACCAAAAAGCACCAGCTGCTGGGCTTCACGAGCAACTTCCAAGTCTGTTTCTCAGGCTCTTTGGCTTTAAGATTTTGGAAAGTGAAAAGCGGGTGGGTTTATACTGGTCTGACTCAAAGGGCACAAGGGCTTCTCCTAAGGGGCCATGTGGGGTCACCTCCTCCGTCTGTCCTTTTCCAAACACAGAACTTCTTCCCGGTGCCCCCAAACCAGGCCCCAGGCCAGAAGTTTCCTACTCCGGCTCAGAATGTCTTCCCATTTTTCACAGGGTTGTCAGCAGACAGAAACCTACTTGTCACACATCTGGGGTGAAGGGGACGAGGAGAGAAGCAGACAGAAGGGACCACACAGAGAAAAGAAGGGCACCAAAAATAGCCTTCCCTCTGTGAGTGGAGAGCAACCCAAGACCCCAGGGGTTGCCCAGCGGGTGTGACCGTAGCTAATAATAACAGGCCAGGGTTTCTCACGCCGAGAGGGACTGGTGGGGGGCGGGTAGCTCACGAGGTAGAGCTCCCCACAGAAGAACTGTATGTGGACAGAGAGGGCTTCCTGGCGACAATGTGCACCATCTGTACTTTTCTTTGGCAGGAAGAGAAGAAAATGTTAAAAGCACAGTGGGGAGCCACGACCCCGGCTTCAGGGCTCCCAGCTGAACCCCGTGAGGCCCCTGTTCTGCCTTCTGCCCTTGGCCGAAAGAACAAAGCTCAGGCTGTGCATCTTACTGAGGAGGTTGAGGGGCGTCAAGGGGCGGGAGAGGACATCCTGAAAACTCTCCAGCCATTCCCGCTGCTCCTTCTCGCTGGGGCAGGTGAAGATGAATCTCCGCTCAGGGGTGACAATCGTGAGGCCGGCTTTCCAGCGGTTCCCTCGGATACCCTTGGGCAGGTCCTCGTAGACTCCGTACCCCTGCTCGTTGCTCCCAAGAAAAACCTGGCCCTGTTCAAAGGCATCCTGAAGATAGAGGACACTTGGTCATCAGAGGCCACACCTGGGGCAGACAGGCACCTGCAGCCCAGACATCCCCCAAGCTCTATTTTAGGAAGAGGTGTTTCATGCGTGTAGTGAGGGTCTCTGCTGGGGATCTCTGCTTGGTGGGACCTGGAATTTGAAAGGCTACAAAACCATAAAAGATATCACACACGTGATCTGTTAAAATGATACTTACTTAACATCATGGGCAGCTTGCTATGCACCAAGAATTCAAGTTCTTGACCTTAAGTAACTTATATAATCCTCATGGCAACCTCTGAGGAAGGCACTGTTATTAAGCCTATTTTCCAGAGGAGGAAAGTGAGGCACAAAGAGCTAAGTGCTCTGCCCAAAGCATACCACTAAGTGGCAGGACTGAAAGTTCTAAAGCCCACAGTCCTAACTACTAGCCTCCCCTTGAGAAGTGAGCCCGGGAGACAGGAAGAGGAAGAACTACATTTTTACAATGTTTACATTGTAAAATATAAGTGTTACAATGTTTTACAATGTTTAACTACACTGACAGCATTTTGGATACACAGAGGAAGTCCTGTGCACAGGAGATGACAGAGACCAGCAAAAGTGGAGGTGTGTTCCTCACCAGGTTTCTCCTGCACTGCCACTTCCCCACGGTCCCCGGCTAGCCAGACCCCACCTCTGTCTGCGGGTGTACTGAAAAGGGGCCGGCAGTGGCTCTTACCAGTGGGTTCTTGTAATAGAGCAGCCTCCGCTCCTGGGGATCCAGGGCAAACCACCTTTTTTTGAAAGGTTCTCTCTGCTGCAAAAGAGGGAAGCTCAAACCAGGCCCAGCCAAGCGGGGGAGCACAGAGGTCAGAGAGCTGGCCAGTCCCTTAGCCAGCAGCCACCCCAGCGCTCCTCCCGGAGGCTCTGCCCGCCTCCCCCCCTCCTCCCCCCGCTGGCTGCACCCTGTGCCTCTGGGTGCTGCTGTGGGTAGGAAGAAGGGCTACAGACAAGAAGTCTCAGAAAAAGGAAGTGGAAGTCAGAAGCAGTGATGGCTCAGCAGTGCTGACAGCGCTGGCCTGGGTGGAATTCTAACCGAGGTCAGGGGAAAGAAAGCCCCTGGCAGGAACCCTTGGGGAGTGGCTGTGCCATCAGCCGGTAAAGGCAGAAAACAAAATGTGCAATGCTTTGACTTGTTTTTGAGCTGCCCAGAGGCTTTCTTTCACACTGATTGCCTAACACCTTTCCCTGCAGTCTTAACATCCATCCTGTCAAGATAAGACATCTTAAAAAAAAAAAAAAGAAAAAGCAAGCATTGGATTGCCGCTGCTTTGGGAGTTTTTTTAGGAGGTTCCCTCTGCTTTCCCTTCTTGTCCTCCCTTCCCCCCTTCCTCCCCTCTCCAGCCAGACTTCTGACTTGGAGCTGCGCCCCTCTAGGCATCCAGGCTGGGCACCCCCCCCCGCCCCCAGATGCTCTCACAGCAGGAGCTGTCACCCCTCCGGACCCTCCAAGGGATGCCCAAGAGCAGCCAGCCTTCCCTTCCTTCCTAGGTAAGTGGGAATGAGCAGCACTGGGAGTTGGGGCAGGTTTAGCAAAGGAGGGCAGAGGCTGAGTTGGAGGGAGGGTGTGTGTGCTGGGAAGGGGTGAGACCATGTGTGGGCCTAGGTGTGTGTTTTCAGACCAGTCACTAGCCCCCGTCTCACTTGGACAGTCCTGGTAGGCCCCCAGCACAAAGCTCACACGGGTTCTGGAAAGGGCAAAAGCTGTCGCCCCGAAGAGTCCCTTTTCAGCTATGTTTTCCTAGGAGTGGGGTCAGTTAGACGGAGTTAAGAGGAAGAAAGAGGAAGGAAGCTGGGGCTCCTGCGTGGCTCAGTCAGTTAAGCTTCTGCCTTTGGATCAGGTCATGATCCCAGGGTCCTGGGATCGAGCTGCACGGGCTCCCTGCTCAGCGGGGAATGAGCTTCTCCCTCTCCCTCTACCCCACCTCTCCCCTCTGCTCACTCACTGTCTCTCAAACAAATAAATAAAATCTTAAAAAAAAAAAAAGGAGGAAAGAAGCTGCTTGTGATGTCGATAAAGAAGGAGGATGCCCACGGATCAGAAGCACCTGTAGCCATCCTGGACCACGCACCAGCTCACCAGTCTCCACTTGCTCTTTTGCCCCAGGAACTGACAAACATTGGGTTATCTTCCCTTCCCTCCCTCTTCCCACCACCGTCTGGCTCCCCACTTCCCCACTTCCCAAATTCTGCCCTATTGCCCACTGGAACCAGGGCCGTGTAAGTCCCCCAGAGAGCGGTGGAACGTACCTTTGGACCAGTCTTTTCCATGAAGCCTTGTTTGAGGTACTTCCTGGTGATGAGGGGCACGAGCTGGGGGAAGGGAGATATAACACTGATCCCCCGACTCACACGCCAAGGGTTCAAGGTCCCCCACTGAACTTGGCTCCCCAACATAGGGGAAGTTTGGAATGGGGAAGGATGTGTGCTCATGGTTCACAGGGTTATATTTGGAATGTGGTATTGGATGCAATATTAACATTTCAACAGTCAGATGACAGCATCTCAGATGTTTGCGGAGCTCACCAGCAGAGCCCAATCGTGGCTTAAGGAGTTAGTCTGAGGATTCCTTCAGCAACCCCAGGAGGTAGACAGAGGCAAGGCTCTGAGGAAACCCTCCTGGTGTCAGGGGGCATATTCTGAGGGTCTACGTGTGTCAAGCTCTGGGTGCAGTTCTCACCCACCCTGTGAGGTGGACATTATTATCTTCATTGGGCCCAGGGCAGGGGAAAAGGGGAAGTGAAGTCTAGGAAGTCGAAAGGAAGAAAACTGTGGGCCGAAAAAGATAAACTCGACCACTCCCCTGGCCCCAAAATACATTCTATAGGCCTTAATTCCTTCATTTGGAAGGAAGACTCCTGAACTGTGCAAGAATCTGAACCCGAGCCAGGGCCATGCTAGTCTCGGCCTAGGGAAGCAACCGGAAGAAGGAAGAGCACATGGATGGAGCACTGCTCACTGACTGAGTCCTAGAAGCCGAGGCTCTCTCGAGTCTCACAGCAGCCCTGGAAAGGAGGTGTTGTCCCCACAATGACAGATGAGCGAACCAAGGCTCAGAGCAGTGAGGTGACGTGCCCCAGGTAACACATCAGCTTCTCTGACTTCGGAGGCCACCCCTTTCTTAGTCTGGGACTCCCCCTCCGCCGCCCCACTGGAACTCCCCAGGTGTCTAGCCTCTGGATCCCCAAGCTTGAGCCAGGTCCAGGTGGCTGCCCAGAACCTCAGGCCATCCCTAGCCGCAGGGGGAGGAAAGGCAGCAGAGACATGGGAGGGGAGAGGAGAGGAGGTGAGAAGACACTGAGGAGTTGGCCAAAGATCAATGTCCTCTGCAGAGGTCAGCAAAGTTGGAGAGCCAGCCCGGATGACGAAGGCTGGGAGTCTGTCCTGTGACCCCTCTAGTCCGCACTCAGCACACACAGCGCCCTGCCCGCAGACTGTGCATTTGTTCCTGCTGGGTGCTGACTCGGCAGACCAGGAGGGTCCTGAAACAGGCCTGGCTGGAGTCGCTCCCAGAGAGTTGCCAATTCCGTGCACTGCCAGGCCTGGAGCGGACACCTGTTCCCAAAACTTAGCTCCCTGCAAACCTTGGAATTTAGGAGCATTTAGGCATTCAAGGAGGGTCTAACGGTTTGGAACAAGAAAGTCCTGGGATGAATAGGGTGTCTCCGCCCCCATCATTTACAAAATCCTCCTAGAGCAGGGTGGAAAGCAGACCCCAGACCATAGCACCTCGGAGCTGGAAGGGACCCTGAAGATGGCCCAATCACCATCTGACAGATGTGGAAACAGATGCTCTGGGAAGTGATGAGACCCACAGCGGTCAGTGAGTTAGCGACAGAGCATCGTGAGAGCCCGAGCCTCCTGGCTCAAGGCAGCAGCCTCTGCCCCACACACCTGAGAGATGTAGATGGGTGCCCCACAAGTCTGAGGATGACCATAATGAAGTTCTCAGGATCACCATTACCTTGGCCACAGAAGGCAGACTGCTCCTGTTAGAATTGTAATGGAGAAGATCCCATTGCCTTCCCAAGACCAGAACACAAAAGGGCAAAGGGAGGACATCAGAGTGGGAAGAGCACCCTTGAGTATTCACCTGACCTTCTGGGGATTCAGTTTCTCATCAGTAAAACGGGAATAATCACTCCGCCTAACTGTCTACTACAAGGGATTACTAGATAACAGGGAATACAAGATAAAATGGGCTCAAAAGCACTTTGTAAACAGTACATTAGGAATCATCTGCACATTTCAGTGGGAAAAGGGGTGAGAAAGAGATACCCCCCAAAAAAGAGAAGTCCAAATCCTGAGCCCCTTGACACTGGGGATGGTGGCTATGCATCCCAAAGGGGACAGTCTGACCTATATTTTGGAGATTGCCTTGCCATGTGTGAGGCCATAATCCCCCAAAGAAAGCCTTTGGTTTCCCTGTGAGGTATCCAACCCCAAATCTCAAGGTCTTGTCCACAAACAAAGCTAGTCTGGCCTCTGAGTATTTTTGAGGTCAGCAGACAAAGAGAGGGGATGGCAGGGAGGAGACTCAGAAGTTGGGGTCCATGGGGCACCTGGGTGGCTCAGTCAGTTCAGCATCCAATTCTTGGTTTCTGCTCAGGTCATGATTTCAGGGTCATTAGATCAAGTCCCGCAGCATCAGGCTCCGCACTCAGCGGGGAGTCTGCTTTTCTCTCCCTCTCCCCCCACCCTGCTCACGCTCTCTCTCACTCTCTCTCTCTCAAATAAATAAAATCTTAAAAAAGAAGAAGAAGTTGGGGTCCACGTTTAGCTCACCTCAGACTCCGGGAACTCAGGAAAGGCTGTTTTTAGGTATTGCAGACGGGCAGCACGGAGGGCATTGAACCAGTCCACTATCTCCTGTGGAGAAAAACGAGAACAAACAGCCTGTGAGATGGAGTAGTGGGGGAGCTGAGTTTGGTGGCAGGAAGCTAGCTGGGTCTTCAGGTTCAGCACATGCACATCCCCCCATCCCAGTTCTGCTCAGGGGCCTGTGCACTGATCACAGGTATCTGTGAGGACGATGCCAGAGCAAGTGGGAAGCCACTGACAGATGTCCAGAGCCATGGGGAAAAGACCAAGGTGAACTGCACCAGAGTTAGGTAATGGCCTTGGACCTTGCTTGGCCCTTTCCAACGTGTGTAAGAATCACCTGAGCATCTCTTTTTTTAAAATGCAGATTTGGATCCAGTGGGTTTGAGGTAGGTGGGGCCTGAGATCCTGCATTCCTAACAAGCTCTCTGGTGATGAGATGCTGGTCAGTGGGACACAACTGGAGGAGCAAGGGTCTTCAGATGTCAAAGACTGGCTCTCGAGTGCGGGCAGGTACACCTGCAGATTCTCCTCCAATGTGGATGCTCATCACCTGGAGTGCAACTTGGCCCAAAGCTGGCTTGGACTGGCTTGCGTCCTTCTGGGGGGAGTGCATCCTCGGCAGTGTGGGCCACCGTTATCCCTGGTGAACCACTTGTCCAGCTGGCTCTGCTGTGGCTCCGCTGCTCTGCAAAGGGTCCTCCCACAGCAGCCGGAGTGATTTTTTTTTCCCCAGAGTGATTTTCTTTTTCTTTTTCTTTTTTTAATTTATTTTTTAAATTATTTATTTGTCAAAAAAAGACAGGACGAGCGGCAGGCAGAGGGAGAAGCAGGCTCCCCCCTGAGCAAGGAGCCCGATGCGGGGCTTGATCCCAGGACCCTGGGATCATGACCCGAGCCGAAAGCAGTCGCTTAACTGACTGAGCCGCCCAGGCGCCCCTTGTCCACTTCACTTTCAAATGAGCTACGTGGCTCCTGCAGGCATGAAAGTTTGCAGCCCCCATTTATGCCTATCTAACAGAGAAGCTGGGGCATTGAGGAAAAGAGAAGGGCCAGACAGTATCAACGATGCCTATTTCCCCATCTTACTCCCTCCCCAGTCTGTGAGATCCTTGAAGCCCACCCATGGCTCTGCCCTATTTGCTACCACACTCTCTAGAGCCCAGGGCAGTACTTTGCACATTGCAGAGGCTCAATAAGGACTAACTGGAAGAGTGAATGAGTGGGCTGCCTGGGTGGTTCAGCTGATGAAGTGTCTGACTTCAGCTCAGGTCATGATCTCGGGGTCCGAGGATTGAGCCCGTGGCGGGCTCCACACTCTGCAGATGGAGTCGGCTTGTCCTCTGCCCCTCCCCCCTGCTCTCTCTCTCTCCCAAATAAATAAAATCTTAAAAAAAAGACTGAGTGAGAGATACAGATGTGAAATTGCCCATAAGATTTTACCCTTTACAACTGCTACAATCATGAGCAAATAATTAGCGAGGTTTTTTTGTTTTGTTTTTTAAAGATTTTATTTATTTATTTGAGAGGGAGAGATAGTGAGAGAGCATGAGCAGGGGGGGAGAGGGAGAAGCAGACTCCCCTGCTCAGCAGGGAGCCCGACATGGGGCTCGATGTCAGGACCCCAGGATCATGACCTGAGCTGAAGGCACTTAACCACTGAGCCACCCAGGTGCCCTAATTAGCAGAGATTAATGTTTGAAATGTACTTCACTGTAATGAAATTCGTTCACATTCACGGTTCATGGTCATTCACCCTCTAAACCCCTCTGGGCAGGTGGGTGTTCTGATCCATAAACAAGCAGATGGAGGAGGGGAAGGGACTTGGCCCAGTAACACAGCCCAGAGTGGCAGAATCAGGGCTCCAGTTTCTGACTCCAAACCCCAATTCTTCATAGCCTCCACTGCCAGGAACTCTGCCCAGACTCTGCCAGCATCCCAGTGCTGGGGCCCCTTGGGAAAATCTTTGTCTCAGTCTCGGGTTCCTGGCTCCTGCTACCAAGGATTCTCCCTCCAGCAGAGGCACAAAGGGGGGTGGGGTAAGATGGTCGTAGGACTCAGGAATCATAGTCTGGGTGACCCTGAGCAAGTTACTTAACATGCCTGTGGCTCAGTAACATAGGGTTAAAACATCTCCAGGACTGTTTTGAGGATTAAGAAATGATATACAGCAGGGCGCCTGGGTGGCTCAGTCAATGAAGGGTCTGCCTCTTGATTTCAGCTCAGGTCATGATCTCAGGGTCATGGGTTCAAGCTCTGCATCGGGCTCTGCGCTCAGTGGGGAGTCTGTTTGTCTCTCTCCCTCTGCTCCTCCCCAACTCGGTGCTCTCTCTCTCTCTCTCTCTCAAATAAGTAAATAAATAAATAAAATCTTAAAAAAGGAAAGAAAGAAATGATGTATGGTGGTTACCAAGAACAGTGCCTGGCACAGAATTAATAGGCACTCAAAAATGTCTACCCTCACCTCTACCCCTCTGCACTTCCACTTGGCATCTGTGTCCCTTGCTCAGTCAGGAGACTGCTCATTCTGACCTAGCTTATTCTCTTGGACCTGTACTACTGGCCTGCTCTTCTCTGGCAGAGTTGATGTCTTAAACTATAATGTGCTTAAGGATCCCCTGGAGCTCCTGTGAAAACGCAGTTTCTAATTCAGTAGGTTCCAGTGGGCCTGAGACTGTGTTTCTAACCAGCTCCAAGGTGATGCTAACGCTCTGAGGGAGCCGGACGTGGGGCTCGATCCCAAGACCCCAGGATCATGACCTGGGCCGAAGGCAGCCACTTAACTGCTTAACTCCGAGGACCACGTGGGGAGAAGCAGGGCCCTCGAGTTCAGGGCTGCCGGATCTTCCGTTCATCCCTGTTCCTGCATGCAGAGTCTCTGCCCTACCTGGATTCGTCCCCCTGGGCATAGCCCCTCCTGCTAACTGGACTCCCCGTAGTGGCTATGCGCTGTCCAGGCGCACACCCCATGGTGCTTGTCAGGTTTTTCCCCCTGACCTCGCTCTGCGTTGCTCCTACGGCTCTCTGGGACCGGAAAGGGACAAGAGATGAGGCCAACAGCGGCAGCACACCTCAAGCGGCAGCTGAACCAGCTGGCAAGGCAGGCCAGCAGAGTCCTGCGTGTGGGCTGGGGGCCGGGATGGCAACGCCGGTCATCTCACCTTCCCACTCTCGTGGTACACGAACAGGTTCCTGATGTGGCCCTCTCTCCTGTAGGTGATCTGCAGCCCATGGGGGTTCCCTATCTTCTCTGTCTCAAAGGTGGCATTCAAATCCTTGATGCTGATGACAGCTTTGGGGCCTTTACCCTGAAAGAGAGGATGCAGGTGACTTCTCTCCACCTTCACCAGGCCTTAATACACACGGATAACCAATTTGTATCTTTCCGTGGCTTTTAAATGTTCCTGCTCTAATATCGAGATGCACCGATGTTGTACTGCTCTCCTGTGTTTTGGCCATCCCGCCATTTCCACTTGATCAGATTGGCTTCTCAGAGCTGGGAGGTAGCTTGGAAAGGCCTGAACTTAGGACATTTCAAACTTTTTAGCCACAGAACTTTTTCAGAAGTAAATCATTTATGGAAGCCAAATGAATGAAATAAAGCAGATAAAGGGCACCTGGGTGGCTCAGCCGTTAAGCGTCTGCCTTCAGCTCAGGTCATGATCCCAGAGTCCTGGGATCGAGCCCCACCTCAGGCTCCCTGCTCAGGGGGAAGCCTGCTTCTCCCCCTCCTACTCCCCCTGCTTGTGTTCCCTCTCTCGCTGTGTCTCTCTCTCTGTCAAATAAAATAAAATCTTTAAAAAAAATAAAAAATAAATAAAACAGGGCGCCTGGGTGGCTCAGTTGGTTAAGCGACTGCCTTCAGCTCAGGTCATGATCCTGGAGTCCCGGGATCGAGTCCCACATCGGGCTCCCTGCTCAGCGGGGAGCCTGCTTCTCCCTCTGACCTTTCTCTCTCTCTCATTCTCTCTCTCAAATAAATAATAAAAAAAAAATCTTTAAAAAAAAAATAAATAAATAAAACAGATAAACAGATAAAAGCAGGTATGGGAGTCTTGGGGAGCTCCCTTCCACACTCTACTCTGTTGGCAGGGGTCTGGAACACGGGTTAAGCATTAACCGTATCTATTCCTTGCTTGGTATCTAAGCAAGGAAGGGAAAAGAGTGTTTTCCTTTGTAACTGGTAAGAGAGAAAAATGGTACAAACACTCTAGACCTGGGGCAGCCATTAACCACATGTAGCTATTTAAATTAAAATTTAATAAAAATGAAACTTCCGGGATGCCTGGGTGGCTCAGTTGGTTAAGTGACTGCCTTCGGCTCAGGTCATGATCCTGGAGTCCCAGGATCGAGTCCCGCATCGGGCTCCCTGCTCAGCAGGGAGTCTGCTTCTCTCTCTGACCCTCTTCCCTCTCGTGCTCTCTCTCTCTCTCTCTATCTCATTCTCTCTCTCAAATAAATAAATAAAATCTTTAAAAAAAATGAAACTTCCGTTCCTTGGGGCATACCTGGCTGGCTCACTCAGTAGAGCATGCGACTCTTAATCTCAAGGATCATGAGTTCAAGCCCCACAGTGGGCATGGAGCTTAGTTTAAAAAAAGTTACAGAAAAATACAAAAATAAAACTTCAGTTCCTTATGCTTAGCCCCATTTCAAGTGCTCAAGTAGCCACTTGGGGCTAGGGTATCGGACAGGGCAGACAAAGAACATTTCCATCACTGAACAAAGTTCTATTCGATAGTCTTCTCTAGAGGGAAATTTGGTCATACTTATTAAAATGTTGAATTTTTTTATTTTTTATTTTTATTCATTCGAGACACAGAGATACAGAGAGAGAGAGAGAGAGAGAGAGAGAGAGAGCATGAGCAGGGGGAGAGGCAGATGGAGAAGCAGGTTCCCCGCTGAGACAGGAGCCTGACATGGGGCTTGATCCCAGGACCCTGGGATCATGACCCAAGCCGAAGGCAGACACTTAACCTACTGAGCCACCCAGGCACGCCAAAATGTTGAATTTTTAAAAAGATTTTATTTATATATTTATATAAAGATATACTTATATCTTTATATATTTGACAGAGAGATAGGCCGAGTGGCAGGCAGAGGGAGAGGGAGAAGCAGGCTCTCTGCTGAGCAGGGAGCCGGATGTGGGGCTCGATCCCAGGACCCCGGGATCATGACCTGAGCCGAAGGCAGACGCTTAACCGACTGAGCCACCCAGGTGCCCCTAAAATGTTGACTATTTTGCCTTGACTCACAGTTTCACATCTGCAAATCTATCCCAAGGAAGTAACTGCATTACTGTGCAAACATGTATGTCAAAAGATACTTGTTGCTGTGTTTTTTAGAATAATAGTAGTAGTAGCAGAAGGAGGAGGAGGAGGGGGAAGAGAAACTATTATATCTATAATATATAACTATATGATAATATATAACTATATAATATATAACTAATATATATATACATATATATCCATCAGGGATAACGGGTTAAATAAACAATCATGGTATATCCATACAGTGAAATACCACAGAATTTTTATAGGATAATTTAGATCAATGTTTTTTTTTAAGATTTTATTTATTTATTTGACAGAGAGAGACACAGCGAGAGAGGGAACACAAGCAGGGGGAGTGGGAGAGGGAGAAGCAGGCTTCCCGCAGAGCATCTTAACACTTAAAGACTGAGCCACCCAGGCGCCACCCAGAAAAATTTATTTTAGATTCATCTACATTATTGCATTTATTAGTAGTTTGTCCCTTTTTATTGCTGAGTAATATTCATTCTGTGGATATACTACAATTTGTTCATTCAGCTGTGGATGGACGTTTGGGTTCTTTCCACATTTTGGTGGGGTTTTTTTATGAATTAAACATCTATGAACATTCACATACAAAGATTTTTGTGGACAGATGTTTTTGTTTCTTTTCAGTAAATACCTAGGAGTGGAATGGCTGGGTTATACGGTTAAGTGTATATCTACCTTCAGTAAAAACTACCAAATGGTTTTCCCAAGCGGTTGTATCACTTTACAATCCCACCAAGTAACATATGGGAGTTCCAGTTACTCCACGTCCTTTACATGGAGTTGTCAGCCTTTTTAATTCCAGCCATTCTGGTGCAGTATATCCCATATGGCTTCATTTTGCATTTCCCTGACTGCCCAGAGAGATTGGGGCATCTCTTCTTATATTTATCTTTATCTTATATTTATCAGGCATTTTGGTTTCCTTTTCTGTGAACTGCCAGTCTATTTTCTTTGCCTATTTCCCCATTGGATTGTCTTTTTCTTTTTGCTTTGTAGAGTTCTTAAGAAAACGTGTTCTGGGTATTACTATTTTATTTTGTTGAGATGAGTCTCACTTTCTTTATACTTACTTTTCTGTATTACCAAAAAAAATTTTTTTTAAGATTTTTTTTATTTATTTGACAGAGAGAGACACAGAGAGAGAGGGAACACAAGCAGGGGGAGTGGGAGAGGGAGAAGCAGGCTTCCTGCCCGAGCACGGAGCCCGATGTGGGGCTCGATCCTAGGACCCTGGAACCATGACCTGAACCGAAGGCAGACGCTTAACGACTGAGCAACCCAGGCACCCTGTATTACCAAAAAATTTAGCGTAAAAATGAATTACCTTTACAATTTAAAAGAAGTTCCCTCTTGGGAAAGAAATTAAAAAATAACAAAAGCCACTCATTCTGATTTTAGACTGTTTTAGACTGAACTGGCTTAGGACTGAGAAACAGATTGACCTTGGCTAACCAAGGATGAGACTCTCCTAGAGGCCAACTCATAGCTGCTGCAGGGGTGCCGCGTCCGCTCCTAACTCTGCGGCAGCCCTTTCTCTGCCTGCCTTTTGGACAGAGAAGAAATCCCTAATTCTTACTTGGAGGGGTAATACTCTTCACCCCCCACCATTTTTCACTTGGCCCCAGGCTGCAGTCACACTGGACAGCCCTGATAGCATTGCTGTGGTCTATCTAGGAAAGCAACAGGGGAAATCAATCAATCAATCAGTCAGTCAGTCTACATGTAGGAAATGGAGTCAGGTGATGGCTGACGTGCTCAGAGCTTGCCCTTTTCTGACTTTGTTGGCCGCTCCTTCACATTCTCTGCTGGAAACTTCTCATTTTTTTTTTCTGCCCTTGAAATACTGGAATGTCTCAGGGCTCAACGTGGTAAATAACCTCCAAAGATGGTCCTTACCAATTCCCTCCCTCCCAGTATGCACACCCCATGATACCCATAAAGAGGGGGAGTCTATATCCGCTTCCCTTGAATATGGCTGCTTGAGTTGCTTTGATCAACAGAAGGTAGTTCCTGACCTCATGTTGAAGAGGCCGAGCAGCATCTCCCTTTGCTTAGGGGAGGCCAGCTGCCACGCTACAAAGAAACTCAAGCCAGACTCCTAAATACGGAACAAGCACACGGAGAGCCAGAGCCTCCCTGGAGAACCCAAGGCAGCAGACTTATGAGTGAAGGCTTCCCGGACACTCTCGGCCAGCCCAACCACCATCTCAGTGCAGCAGGGCCAGTGACCTGGCTGATGCCACAGGGAGTACATTGCAGCAGCCAAGGCCTGCCCAAATTCCTGACCCCCAGGATTGAGAGAAATAGTACATTGATGTTTTAAGCCACTAAGTTGTATGGTGGTTTGTCATTGAGCAACAAGTAACAAAAAATCCTCGGTCCTAGGATTTGTGCTTTCACTCCTTTCTGGAGGTGACAACCTCCCCATGACCACATGGATCTCCTGCACCCATCCCCAGAAGAGAAGAGGAAGCACAAGGAGCAGCACCTGGCGCGGAGCCCCAACACCTACTTCATGGACGTGAAGTGCCCAGCGTGCTACAGAATCCCCACGGTCCTTAGCCATGCACAAATGGTCGTTTTGTGTCCTAGCTACTCCACTGTCCTCTGCCAGGCCACGGGAAGAAAAGCAAGAATTATAGAGGGCGGTCCTTCAGACAGGAGCAGCACTAAAAGCACCCTGAATCAAGAGGAGTAGGAAACATGGGTGCCCGGGGGACTCAGGTCATTAAGCATCTGCCTTCAGCTCAGGTCATGATCCCAGGGTCCTGGGATCGAGCCCCACATCGGGCTCCCTGCTCAGTGGGGAGTCTGCTTCTCCCTCTTCCTCTGTGCACTCTCTCTCTCAAATCAATCAATCAATCAATCAATCTTAAAAAAAAAGATGAATGGGAAACTATCCCAATAAACACATTTTGGATACAAAAAAAAAAAAACCCTAAAACAAAACATCTTTTCTCATCTACCCACACTCCCCGCCCAGGTGATCCCAGCCAGTCCCATCGTTAAACCAGCAAGTGTTGGTGAGGATGTGGAGCAATTAGAACCTTCACACATTGCTGGTGGGAACATTAGATGGTGCAGGGACTTTGAAAAACAGTGTGGCAGTTCCTCTAAAACAGTGTTACAGTTCCTCTGTAAATACAGATTACCACATGACCCAACAATTCCACTCCTAGGTATAGCCCCAAGAAGAGTGGAAACATGTCCACATGAAAACTGGTACACCAATGTTCATAGCAGCATTATTCATACTTGCCCAAAAGTGGAAATAACTCAAATGTCCATCAACTAAGTGAACAGATGAACTATCCACACAGTGGACCAGTACTTGGCAATAAAAAGAAGTACTAATACGTGCTATATGAACGAATCTTAAACACATATGCAAAATGAAAGAGGTCTGTTACAAAGGACCACATGGTCCGTGTATTTGAGGTGTCCATAATAGGCAAACCTACAGAGGCAGACAGTAGATCAGTGGTCTCCTGGGGCTGGGGGGGTATGATGGGTAGAGGATAAGGGCTAACGGGTGTGGGATTTCTTTTGGGGCTTATGAAAATGTTCTAAAATTGGTTGCGGTGACAGTTATGCAACTCTGTGAGTACACTAAAAACCATTAATTGTCTGCTTTAAATGGGTGAATTGTATAATATGTGAATTTACATCTTTTTTTAAGATCTATTTATTTTAGGGAAAGAGAGAGAGAAAGCACAAGTGGTGGGGGAGGAGCAGAGGGAGAGGGAGAGAGAGAATCCGGAGCAGACTCCCTGCTGTGCGCAGAGCCCGATGCAATGTGGGCTGGATACGGGCCTCGATCCCACCACCCTGAGATCAAGACCTGAACTGAGATCAAGAGTCCCACACTTAACTGACTGAGCCATCCAGGGATCCCTATGAATTTATATCTTGATAAAACTGTTTCAAAAAAAAAAAAATCTTGAGTCTTACTAGGCCCTACAAGGTCCTTACCTATGTGAGCTCATCTCCTCCCATCCTTCTCTTTGCTCCTTCTGCACAGATCACTTTGGCTTCCTTGATCCACCACACCACCCTCCCAGCTCAGGCCAGGGCTGTGGCTTATGGCTGAGTAGTTTGTGCACGAAACAAAAAGTCCCTGGATGAGGGTGTAAGTGAGAACTGCAACCTAGGCTTCTGCTTGTCTAGACCTGGGCCCCAGGGCTACACCATCTCGGAGGGGTCATTTTCTAACTGACATGCAGGACCATGTTCACGTTCCCTCTACTTCTTCTATTCTGCCCCCACATACGCACATGACTTGCTCACTTTTTTTTTTAAGATTTTATTTATTTTAGGAGGGGAGGGGCAGATGGAGAAGGGAGAGAGAGAGAAGCCCAAGCAGACTCCACACTGAGTCCGGACCCTGACACAGGGCTTGATCCCACGACCCCAAGATCATGACCTGAGCCGAAACTAAGCACCAGATGCTTAACCGACTGAGCCATCCAGGCATCCCTGACTTGCTCACTTTTATTCATTTCCCTGCTCCAATGTCATCAGAGGGGCCTTCCCTGACCCCTGTGTGATATCAGCCCCACCATCCTCTAACTCTTCACCCGCTTTTATTTCTCTTCACAGAACCTACTATACCTCGTCTATCATATATTGATGTACGTTTTGGTTACCACCTGTCTCTTTCCACTAGAATGAAAGCCCCATGAAAACAGGAGCTTAGTTTCATTTACTGCTGTAGCCCCAGTGTCTATAGGAATGTCTAGTATATAGTAGGTGCTCAATAAATAATTTCTTGTGGGGCACCTGGTTGCCTCAGTTGGTTAAGCGTCTGCCTTCGGCTCAGGTCATAATCCTGGAGTCCCAGGATCGAACCCCACGCTGGACTCCCTGCTCAGCAGAGAGTCTGCTTCTCCTTCTCCTGCTGCCCTTCCCCCTGCTTCTTCTCTCTCTCTCTCTCTCTCGCTCGCTCAAATAAATAAATAAATAATTTCTTGAGTGCATGAATAAATGCAGTAAACTCAAGTGGTCATCCAGGGCTTATTTGTGGACCATTCTAAGCCGATTCTACGTGAAGAGAAGGTATGTTTTTGATTGCCTGGATTGATTGCCTAACTGTGGAAAAGTAACCATGCGGTGCTAAACACTCAGCAGCTGAGATTATCCAGAAGACACGGCACCATTGATTCCAATGTGACCTCAGTGGGGTACAGTCCAGCGCTCAGGGAGGGACCCCTTGCTGGTCTGGTCTCTTACCTCCTCTTTAGTGTAGTACTTCAGGAGGCCTTCTTTTGACAGGAGGACAAACTTTCTTCTCAGGAACTGGGCATTGTCCCTTCCTCGCTTCCACAGGAACCCTTCTCGGGTACCTTAGCCACCAAGGAAGAGAAAGAGGGAACACCCACATCCTTAAGATAAACAAGCAGTTTGCAAACCTCGTAGGGTCTCGAGGGTAGAGTGAACGCTCCACCCAGTGCTAAAATATCTTAAATCTAACTTAGCTATGTCAGCTGCAGCACGTAGGGTTCTGTCTGGGGCCAAATTTGCAAAGTCTCATGATTTCGGTTGGGCTCTCCCTAACTTCCTTCTTTGGCTATTTCATAAGAAGACCAACTAAACCCTTAGGAGGCTAAGTCCTGAGAAACTGCATGATTCTGAAAGACGCCGCTACGGTGCTGCCCAATGTCACGTCGACATCGACCTAATGAAACCCCTCAGAGGGCGGAAATGATGAGTGACCTCTAGGAACCTGCTAGTGGAAGAGCACCGTGTGCTCCCCATAGCTAGGGGCGCTAAGCTCTGGCCGTCACCGGTCCTCACAGTGGTTCTGGACGCTTTGCCCTCCAGGTCAGTGTGAGCTTGGACTCAGAGCAGCTGGGCAGACACTACCACGGGTCGAGGGCCAGCCATGGGGTTGTGCCCCACACAAAGGTAGGAAGGGAGGCAGAAATCCCTCCCATGTTCCTTACCAAGCGGTTTGTCACACGAGGGGCCACACTCACCAAGAGCAGGGGTGCCTTTTTCTAACTGTTCAGCCTGGCGGGTGAGTCTTCCTGCAACTTTATACTAAGACTCTGTACACACGTGTGGCCCTGTGGGGACCAGAGATAAAAATACTTCTTGACCACTCAGACCATAAAACTCCACCAGCTGACACGTTGCTGTTTCAGAGGCAGAGGAACCCACACCTTGGCCTCTGTGGCCACAGTGAGGCCAGCAGATATCTCCTGCCTGGGCCCTCTTCCTAATACTCAGGCACTTTATTGTCTAGAATTCATTAGAATATAGACCTCAAAAGATGATGGAAATAACCTTACCTGGGGGTGAGATGGATTTCCCATCGGCCATAAATTCCTGTCTTTCATACTTAGCTCGAATCCACTGTTCCTTTAACACCCTAAAAAGAGGGAAACTTTGGTCAACTGTGTCTGAGGCGTCCCCTTCCCACAGGGTGGGGATGTCACAGCAACTACCTGCTCACACCACCCAGCGCTGCTCAGCCTCGGAACCGTTACATTTGGAGCTAATTCTCTGTTGGGGGAAGGGGAAGAATCCTGTGTTCTGTAGGATGCTTAGCAGCATCTCTGGCCTCTATCCTCTAGACGCCAGTAGTACCCCCTCCCTAGTTATGACACCCCAAAATGTCTTCAGATATTGCCAGTGTCTCCTGGGGAAAAATACCCCCCCCAAAGGGGATATGAAAACCACTGGGCTATTCCAACCCCAGCCCAGCCCTTTAGGTCAACCAGGTCCCCTGGACCATCTACACTACATGTCCCACTGCATGCTCATGAGCTGAAGCCAGGAGAGTCCATGAGCCTCTTCCTTTGGCTTGCCCATAAAATCTGGGCCTGCTACACTGGACAGAGCAGTGATCTTGGGGTCCAACCACCCGGGACCTGGTCATCCTCCCCAATTTATCCACTGTGTGACCAGCAGCAAGTTACTTAACTCTTCTGAACTTGGGGAACACGTCAATAATATTATACCTACCTTCCCTTCAGGGTTGTTGAGGGGTTTAAATATATATAAAAGGGCCTAATACCATGATCAGCCCATAGTAGGAGTTTAATGTTAGCCTAATCAGATATTGTCACATGACCCGTGCAGAAAACTTATTTCAATTGTTTGGTTCCCTCTTGCCTTTTCCAGGTAAATGTTCCAAGGTTTATGTGACCTTACCCCAAAGCCACAAGGAATGACCCAGAAGTGGGCACCTGACCTGAACTGGCTAAGCAGAGCTCTGCCCTGAGCTATCAGAGCAAAAGGAGCAAAACTGAGAGGGGGATGGATTGGAAGCCCTCTCACCGCCAAGCTGGGAGCTGGAGCCCAGGATCAAGTGGCCTTGCTCCCAGCTACATGAAAGAAGCCTGGCCCACAGGAAGGGGCAGGAATGAGAACCAGACAGAGAGTGTAGGAGGCCCAATAGTGTTTGTGCCCCTGGCTTGCTCTTCCTGAGAGTAGCTCCACCTCTGTCCCTCCTACGGTCTGATCCCCAGAACCCACAAAATCCGCTCGGGCCTAAGCTGGGTTAAACTGCATTTCTATCGTCAGGAGTCCTAACTAATGCACAGCCCTCACCCCAGGCACACTGAGGAGAGTCACCAAGCCCACTGTGGAACCCCGAACCACAGGATCAGAGCTGGGAGAGGGAGTGGAGACTGAGGCCCCAGTCCTGGTCCTGGAGGTGGGGAATTTAAAGGTCTTTTAGAATTACAGGGAGGAGGCCATTAGTGTTCCACTACAAGGGGGGAAGGTGCGGGCCTGTGGTTGGAGTCGTGCAAGTAGTGTCTGGAATGCCGGCAGAAAGCCTACCACATAGTAGGTGTTCACCAAATGCCTGTTCCTTTCCCCTTGCAGCAAAGGGCTGAGGAGCAGCAACAGTGAGGCAAGGGGAGCCAGACCCTCTCGAGTTAAGGCTGGCACCTCCCTCAGCCGGGCCAGGGACAAGGCAGCATTCTGAAGGTGACACTGAGAAGTGGACTAAAACATTTTACATAAAATTATCTCATTTAATCTCTACCACCATGCCATGATGTAGGCAGCATTAAGTACATTTCAGAGATGAGGAAGCCACGGTTCAGACAAGTTTGGTAACTTGTCCACCTTCTCATAGCCAGAGAGTGGTAGAGTCAGGAAACCATACTGGGGTCCTCTGAGCAGAAAGCTGTGCCCCCTACCCTGCCACTCCATGCTGCATTAGCAGCCCCTGAGTTGTTTAACTACTGGGAAATGGCAGGGTACTAGGTACAGTTGTATAGTTTGTGTGCTGTCCAAAAGCTTTCTGCTGAGGCTAGAGGACAATGGGGGCTGAAATGCAGCCTGCTTCCTGAAAGCCATAGCCGCCCCCCCCATGGGGTCATAACCTGCCCAGAGGGTGTATCTTCTTTCCATTTGTATCAGAGTGGTGGCTGGGGGGGGGGGGGCTGTCTAGCAGCCCTGGCAGTGAGGCTGAGTCCCTGGAAGGAAGGCTAAGCCTCAGGCAGTCAGTCCTGCAGAGGCTGGGGTCACTAGGTACCAGGGCCACACTGATCCCTCACATCTAGGGGACCTGAAACCTCCTGTTGCTTCACAGCTTCCCCCGACTTTTATTAGATTTCCCCAGGGCCCTGGTGTCAGATGGGCTAGTCAGTCCCAGTTCTGTCTCTTTGAGCCTCAGGTATGTCATCTATATTGTGGGGACCGTGGCAGTGTTATCTCAGAGTTGTTGAGAGAATTAAACACATTAATTGCACACAAGCCTATAGCACAGGGCGTGGTACATAGGTAAAGTTCCATAAATGTTAGTAGCTGCTATTATTTTTATGGTGATTAAATTTTATGGTGATTATTTTTATGGTGATTATCTGGGGCCAGACAGCTGCTTTGGAGCTACGCTGAGTTCAAGTGGGACAGCCCTGGGCACAACACTCCCTAGGAAGTAGCTGAAACACATCTTTTCTACTAAAATACCAGGGTTCCTCTTCTCTATCGAGTTAGCCACCACAAGTAGGCTATGAGAACATCCGAGGCAAAGGGGCGGATCATAAAGAAAATGCCCTGTGTCACAACAGTGGAAACTGAGTCCCAGAGAGGGGAAGTGACAATCCAAGCAATAAAGGTAGAGGGGGGAACGAGGCCAGGTCTAAGCGTTCTCCATGACAGCACCAAACGTCTTTCCGGGTCCACCAGGTGCATGTAAAAGACCACCAGGGACGGGCGCCTGGGTGGCTCAGTTGGTTAAGCGACTGCCTTCGGCTCAGGTCATGATCCTGGAGTCCCGGGATCGAGTCCCACATCGGGCTCCCTGCTCAGCAGGGAGTCTGCTTCTCCCTCTGACCCTCTTCCCTCTCGTGCTTTCTATCTCTCATTCTCTCTCTCTCTCTCAAATAAATAAATAAAATCTTTAAAAAAAAAAAAAAAAGACCACCAGAGACAAAGGCACCAGAGATGGAGTAGGGGTGGGGGAGATGAGACCAAGAAATGACCCACTCACAGGCAGTCGTTGGCCTGGGGGACATAGTAGAAAGCAGGGACTCTGGCTTCGTACTTGGCCTTCCCACGGAGGTTTCCATTGTGGGTCATAAACTGCAAGACAACAGCAACTTGGGGTATTATTAGAACTTGAAAAAACGTGAAATGAAACCATGTGTCTACCCAGAAGGCCACTCTTCCCAGTGGCTCCTAGGCTGAGTCAGGAGACACTTCTACTGGAGTTTGACATGTCCCATTGGGCTTGGTTATCCATGCTGCTGGGAAGCTCCAGCCTGGGACAATGAGGTGCTACAGCAACCATAACTCATGTAGGCAGAGCACTTTACAGTCCTTACCCATTAACTCATTCTATCCCCTCGAAAATTTTAATATCACCATCCCCATTTTAGGGGTGAGAAAACAGGCTCAGAGAGGTTAGGTGACTTACCCAAGGTGACACAGCTAGAGAGTGAGGAGCTGGGACTTGAACCCAGACCTGTCTAACTCCAAAACTCATGTTCTTTCTCCCACCCCCTCCCCAGATGGCCAGGACCACCAGCAGCTACGTGCAGGAAGCAGACATAGCTGGAGGATGGAAGAAGTTGGAACTGGCCCCCTTGAGTAGGTCGGTCAGGATGATCACTGGGGCCCTATGAACACCTGACAGACCCAGAGGCAGATACGCCAAGAGTGGCCCTGGCCAACAGTTAGCACTCAGGAACAGAGGTGGCCTATCTGGGGTGAGGGCACACGTGGGAAGAAATATCAGGTTTTTAATTTACATCCCCTGAGCAGAGTGAACCCCATTCTCCCCCACCCCCAGGACTCTAGACTATGACTCAGGATTTGCATGGGCTTTGGATCCCAACAGAGCATGCTTCACATCCCAGCTATACTACTGATTCACTGAGTGACCCTTGGGCAGTACTGAACCTCCCCGAGCTTCAGGGATTTCAACTGCAAAAATGAAGAAAGTACAATGGGTGTGTCATAAGAGACAAAGAAACAACCTTCAGGTCTATGTGCTGGTTTACTGGCTTCCTGTCTTTCTCCTACACTAGAATATATGCTCCACATGGGCGGAGACTCTATCCTATTCACTGCTCTTTCCTAATACCTAGCACATAGTAGGCTTACAGTAACTATGTATCCAACGAATAAAGCATCTAGCACAGTGTCTGACATAGAGTGGGCACTCAGTGAACACGGGCCTGCTTCTCCAGTAGTCCTTGAAATCCTCAGCCAACCAGCACAATTTAGAACAGCTTGCTCTCTGAAGCTTTTCTCGCCAAAATGGTATTATCATCCAGGCTGAAGGTGTCCTCCATCTCTATAGATCAGGAGAGCAAAACGGTGCCCTTCCTGGCTGGGAGGTGGGGGGTGGGGTAGGAGGGGTGGGGTGGGGTGGGTGCTGGAAGGGGGACCCAAACCATGAATTAGTATATTTCGGTTCCAGTCCAGGACTTCAGCTAACGATAACAGCAGTGTTACTTGACTACTTACTTTGTACTGGCACTGAGCCTACATTTAATCCTTACAGCAGCCACTCCAAGGGGTAGTGGGATCCTTATACAGAAGTGGAAACTGAGGGAAATAACAAGTTCTCAGGGCCTTGCAACCAGCAAGGGCCTTGCACTCAGGGTCTCTGTCTAAGCAGGGACTCTAATAGGCTGTGCTTTCTCTTGCTTTTTACTGCTCGGCTCTGGAACTCGGTTTCCTCCCCTACAGAAGAATGGGGCCACCGGCCCACCGCCTCCACCCTGGCTCTGCTGTTTCGAGGCTCTCCAGTGCCCCCCCTCACTACCTCCACAGTACTGTCGTCCCAGAAGTCAAGTCTCACGGATTTAATTTTGCTGATGTCTGGGAAGTTGCGGTGCACACCGGAGCAGTTCAGACAGATGAAAATGCCAAGCTTGTAGGAGGCCCAGTCAGGATCTAGGGGCGAGAGGGCAGAAGCGGAGTTGGATGGAGAGCTAGACACCGAGACCAGGGCTGGGCTGGGGGTGCTGGAGAGGCAGGGCTCGGCCGTTGGGATTTCTGGCGCCCAGCTCTGCCGTGTTAGGAAGCCCTTTTCTCTCTGTCCCCCCACCTTGGGTGAGCTAAGATACCAGCATGCAACCTTCCAGTCAGCTCACGGCCAAGGCACGGAGGCTACCAGGATGATCTTGGAGGGAGTCTAGAGATGGGGCGAGGGGCTGAGGCGAGTGCAAAGTGGAAGTGACAAGACTCCGGGGAACTGAGAGGAGAGCGCGGAGGAAGGCGCCGGCACCGCTGCGCCCGGCTGAGGAGTTGCAGGTGGGGAAGTCGGCGCGCTACGGAGCAGGAACTTGGGAGGACCCCAGGGGCCTCCGGGAGCTGGGAAGGGAGCACCGGACCTTCAGGGGCCCGGGGGTCTGGGACCCCTCGGTGGGGGGGGGGATGTTTGGGTCCATGGGCGTGGGAGGTTGCTGGGTCCAGAGTGAAGAGGTCCGGGACCGAGGTCCGGGTAGGTGGGGTGTCTGGCGGGGCGGGCGAATAAGATGGTCAAGGCATCCGGGTCCGGGTCTAGCGTCGGGGTCCAAGGATATGGAAGGGTCCGGGTCCAGAGTGGGGAGGTCAGGGGGCCTGGGTTCGGGTGGGCGCGGCAGCCGCTGTGGAGAGCTCGGCCGAGGGCGCTAGACGGACGTTCGCTGTCTGGGTGGGCGGGGGCCTGGGTGCGAAGGTGTCAGAAGGGTCACGCCCGGGTCCCGCGGGGGCCCGGGACCGGTCCCGGTCTGGAAGGAGGAGAGGAGGTCGGCGGGCAGGGTTCCTGCTCCCGGCCGCCGCACCCTTACCCGCCGCCCCGCAGTCGGCGCAGTGCGCGTTGCCGGTGCCCGCCGCCTGCAGCAGCTCCAGCAGCCGCTTCTTGTTGCGCTCGCGGTCGCCCATGGCCCGCCCGGCGGGCTCACCGGGGCTCAGCCCAGGCGCCCCCTAGCCCGGCGGCCCCTCGCGGCGCTGAGCTCGAGCGGGCAGGTGGAGAGCGACGCAGCTCCGCCGCCTCCCGCGCGCCAGCCCCGCCCCTCGGCCCTTCCGCCCCGCCCCCGGCGCGTGCCGGTCGCCCCCGCTCCCGCCGCTGGGTCCCCGGCTGAGGCCGGCCCCGAGAGGAGGGACCCGAGCTGACTGGGAGTCCCTGGCGCTGGCCCCAGAGCGGACCCCAGGCGGCCGCTTGCTAGTTGCGGGACTGTAGTCAACCCAGTCAGCTTCTCTGGCCTCAGTTTCCACTTCTGCAAAAGGCGAATAAGGACAGGTCTGCGTCTCTGGGCTCCTTGGAAAATTAGACGGGATCTAACCTCCGCGAAAGCATTCTACTGATGTAGCGCTTACATCTACTTAGAGACATTTCGATGCTACCTCCCCAGGAAACCCTCCTTAATACCCACCCTCGATCAATCTCTCCAGCTTCTGGTCCTGCTAGAACCCTGTTACAGGATCCGTCCCTTTCTTTGGTCCTGAGCACCTTCTATCTACGTTGCATCACAGTTATTTATATATTTATGTTAATCCCTCTCCCACCTCCAACACACACAGGGCCACGCTAGATAGTTCGATGTCAGTAGCTTTATTTCCGTATCCCACATAACTCCTAGAAACAGCACCTGCACATTTTTTGAAGCCAAATACATAGTTGCATGACTGTGTTCACCAGGAAATGTGGTTTCATCACCGTGGACTCCACTAGGCACTTTTATCTGTTAAGTTCCATCACTGTCAGGTGTGGGCAGGGCTTAGGTGGTCCTGAAGCTGGCTGGGGTCCCTTCACCATCCCTGTCCCTCCTCAATCCCTTTCTCTGTGGTCCCTGGGTGCCTGGTAAGGGACTCACTGCACACACTTGCCTTTCCCGCTGTAGGTAAACAGCTGTCTGTCGTATGCATATAGCTTTATGCACAAGGATGTTAGATTTCCATCCTGATAATTGCAGCTGAAGTTCTAGCCCACCTGCCTGTATCCCCAGTTCCACATACATGCATGCATACATGTGAATACATAGGGCAGCATGGTATAATGGAATGAATCCAAGAATACAGGGTTTGAATCTTGGCTCCACCACTTACTAGCTACTTGGCCTTGGGCAAATTCCTTCATTTCTCCGAGCCTTGTACTGCTCACCTGTAAAAATGCGATGTGGGAAGATCCACTGAATAGGGTCATTGAGATGTGCCGGTACGTGCCTGGCACACAAAATCCTCAGAACACAGTGGCTCCCTTGCTTTCCCTGCCCCTCTGGTCAGCTCATGGGATCATCATTTGGAATGCTGTGTATCATTTCCCATCTTCCACAGGGTGGAGGAGGTCAAGCTTCCGGGCCTGGGAGGAGGGGGACGTTAGTTACCAAAAATAACCGGCCAGGAGCGTCTGGACTGAAGCGGGTGAGACCTAGCCCAGCGGCAGCTCCAGAGGAACCAGAGAGAGCCCAGAGGAGGTCAGAGGGCATGGGGCTGGTGACCAAACAGAATGAAAGATGATTCATTTCCTCTGCTTTAGATGAAAAAAAAAGAGACAGAAATAAATCTCCCAGGAGACACATGGGAAAGGCGAAGGGGGGGGCAAAGAGGGGACAGGGCAAGGATGTCATTTCTCTGCTGCCCACTGCCAAGACCCCCAGCCTTCCTGGCTCATGCACCTTTGTCCTGCCCTCCTCTGGCACGTCAGAGGTCCCACAAAAGCCAGAGGTTGAGAGACTCCTTTAGTTTGCCCTCTTCCTGTCCTTATTTCTGGAGGTTTCCATTTACAGAATTCCAAGCCTTAAGGTGGAATTTCAGACATCCTCAGAGACTAAATAAATACAAAAATATTTAAGAATAAAAGGTACTATTGTATTTTGTTTGTAACGGGTTTCTTTCTTTCTCTGGGGGGAGGCCAGGGTGATAATGCTAATTAACAATTATTGACTATTTTACAGAGAGTTTCACATCATTTGATCACATCTGAGTTCCCTAACTGCCCTCTGAGGGCAGCATGCTATCCTCAGAGGAGTGAAGTTACCCAAGGTCAAGGAGCCAAAATGCGCGGAACAGGGGTCTAAATCCAGGTCTCCTGGTGTCCACCAGCCCCAGGTTGTATCACCAAATCCCACAGGGCAAGCTTGCCCTCCCTTCCGTCCCTCCATTCCTGGATTTTTTTCTCACTTCTTAAAAACTGTGGTAAAAGCTCTATAACGTAAAATTGGCCCTTTTAACCATTTTATTTATTTATTTATTTGTTTATTTATTTATTTATTCATTTATTCATTTATTCATTTATTCATTTGAGAGAGAGAGCGAACACAAGCAGGGAGAGAGGGAGAAGCAGGGAGCCCGAGGTGCGGCTCGATTCCAGGACCTAGAGGTCATGATCCCAGCTGAAGGCGGACACCCAACCCTCGGAGCCATCCAGGCCCCCCTCTTTTAATCATTTTTAAGTATACAATTCAGTGGCATTAATTACATTCACGATGTCATGCAACCATCACCACTATCTGTTTCCACAACTTTTTCATCACCACAAACAGAAACTCTACAGCCCAGTCGTGGGTATTGGACATGGTCGGCATTCAGCTCAGGTCTGTGTTCGGTAACCAGAAGCCACTCCTGAGGGAAGAAGAGCCCTGGGCCAAAGGCTGTCATGACTGGGATCAGGGGCCAGGCTATGAGGGGCAGGGTGGGCCGAGGCAGCCTTCTTCATGGACTTAGTCCGTACAGCAGCTGCAGGGGTGAGGGGGCAGTTCAGGCCCTGGGACAGAGTGTCCTCTGTAAATAAAGCTCCCAGGGTCCCTCTAAGCACAAACATCCAGCCCTGCTCTCAGGGTCACTGTCTGTTGAGCTGAGCCCAGCCACCACAGGGCTGGAAGAAAGCTTTCAACCACATTCCCAGCGCTGGACTTGGCTCAAGATCCCTGGAGAATAGATCACAATCCCTTTTAAAATTTAAATAATTATGTTTACTAGATTGTTTTTTTAAACTATAATTACAGGAAATTTGGAAAATACAATAAAGAAGGAAGAAAACACCACCCACAATTATGACCATCATTTATTCAGGGATTGCTGTATTTCAGGCATTATTCCATTTTATCTTAAATACAACCCTGAAGTATAAACTAACTTTATGCCCATTTTACAGATGAGGCAACTGAGACCCTGGGAGAGAATTTAAGTACATTTGTCCCAGGTTACACAACTGAGATGATGCATCCTGGATGATACGTAGTCTGGAGCTGGGATTCAAAGTTTGCCTTGGGCCCCTTTCATCAATATATTAGGTTCATAGTATGAAGTTGACTTACCAAAATAGTAATGTCATGCAGTTCAACCTAGTATTATTCTTTTAATAGCTCTACCACCAGGTTTTTTTTTTTTAAGATTTATTTATTTATTTTTGAAAGAGAGCACATGTGCAAGCAGGAGGAGGGGCAGAGGGAGAATGAGAGAGAAAGAATCCTTAAGCAGACTCCCCCATGAGTGCGGAGCCTGATGCGGGGCTCGATCCCAGGACCCTGAGATCATGAGCTGAGCCAAAATCAAGAGTCAGCACTTAACCCCCTGAGCCACCTAAGTGCCCCTCTAGTACCAGTCTTTATTAACTTTTTCCTAAATTTTCTTCTGGCCATTTTTATATATATTTTATATCACTGGGATCATATTTTACAATTTTATATCCTTTTTTCTTTTACTTTCTTTTTTTTTTAAAAAAGAGTCTACATTTTTTTTAAGATTTTATTTATTTATTTTAGAGAGAGAGAATGAGAGAGAGCACGAGAGGGAAGAGGGTCAGAGGGAGAAGCAGACTCCCCGCCGAGCAGGGAGCCCGATGTGGGACTCGATCTCGGGACGCCAGGATCATGACCTGAGCCGAAGGCAGTCGCTTAACCAACTGAGCCACCCAGGCGCCCTTCTTTTACTTTCTTTACATAATGCCTCTTATTGTATTGTTATAGGTGCTTCATAACATCATTTTAATAGCTACACGATAGTCCATGAGATATGTATATTTCCTTGTTGTCGGACATAGATTGTGACTGATTTTTTGCTGTTATACATAATGCTGTAATGAGTATCTTTGTGCCCAAAGTCGTTCCCCTCTTTAACGCTAGTATTTTCAAGTGCCTGCACCTCCTATAATTGCTCACTGGTTTCCTGGTCTCCCTTACTCACCTAAGCTTCATGAGGGGCAAGGTCAGGTCAGTTGTATCCTCTGTTGTATTCAAGTATCTGTCTGCTGCGTAGCAGGGATTTGAAAAATATTTGCAAGATAAACAAAGAAATGAATATGGGTAAAAAATAATAAACAATAAAGCGAGAGGACTTGGGATCACGAAAGTGTTTTCCTTTTGAAGGGAAATAACAGGCAGGCATGTGAAACAGCGGAAAATCAAGTGGCCAGGCAAAAGAATCTGATCGAGCTTACCTATTTCTTTGTATATTCAATATTACTTTGTCTTTGATAGAAAGCAGCTAAGAGCCCAGAGGGACTGCCCACTGCAATGCTACCAAAGTGTTTGCTCCTTCACTCATTAAATATTTATGGGGGATACACTATGTGTCAGACACTGTTACGGGTACTAGGGATATATAGCTATAAACAAAGCAAAAGGGTCCTGCTTTTGTGCAGCTTACCTTCAAGTGGGAAAGACAGAAAATGAACAGAGAAACAAATATACCTATATACAATATAGTACCAGAGTGATAAATGCTGTAAAGAAACACAGAGTAAGGGGATAGAGAGGGATAGAAGATGCTATTTGGACAGAGAGGTCAAGGAGACGCTCTCTGAGGAGGTGATATTGAAGCAAAGATCTGAAGGAAGGGGTTGAGCCAATGAGGCACCTATCTGAAAAGAAGAGTGTCCTAGGAAAATGGGCCAGCAAGTGCAAAGGCCCTGGGGTGGTAACATGCTTGGGGGGTGCTTTGTCCATCTCCTTTGAGCACAGAGCTGTCCAACTCCATGCTGTTGTGCCTTGCTCAAGCTGCTTCCTCTCCTACTGCAGCCCCCTCCTCCTCTAC